CCCCATTATTAATCAATTACTATAAACTCCATGTGTTCAATACGTAGTTTCTCCACTCCGGCCCCGTACAACTCACAAAGTATACAAACCATTCTTGTTTTCTTTCCTGCACCTGACAGGCCATAAATCAGCAAATGAGGGAAATCATCAGATTGGACCTAATAAAGGGAGGGGCAAAAAAGACAAATTTTCTGTCATAATTAATTATTCTAATTTTTACCAGTCTTTTCAAGCTGGCAGCTTGCTCCTGATGATAATGGAGTTTATTAAGGTTGGTTGGTCTGTACTTATCTACCTATAAACTCATTCTGTACTCTAAAAACTCCTTGAAAGGCTCTCCAGTGTTGTTATCATGCTGCAGCAATTAAAAGGTGTGGCTGAATATAGGCGTGGCTCAAATATTTGATCCGCCCACTCAATATTGCCATTTCACTTATCCTTTCCCTCTCCTTTCTATTCTTATACAGGGTCTGGTAGTGTCCTTATTTCCATTGGTTGTTTCATTGGTGCTTTAGTCTCAGGAGGTACATTACAGATCATGTGATAATCATGTGACATGTGCGTCATTATTTTGCTTGTGTAGCATATTTCCGAGCACATTTCTCACCTCAACACGTTGCTAAATGACAGTCTGTCGTCTGGTAAGGGCTAATGACTACTACTGTAACACCATTAAATACAGGCATATGCATTTAAGAGTAATGGTAACAGTAGTCTCGAGACTATGGTAACAGATATGGGTAATGTCTGTAAGAGTGTAGCAGGTACAATGTATTTAATGTATTTTTGTATTTAAAAACAACAATAGCAATAACAACAACAATAATAATAATAATAATACTGTAAAAATAGCATTCAATAGTACACAGAATCAAAATTTTAATAACAGCTGGTGGGACATTATAATAACCCCACCCCATTATTAATCAATTACTATAAACTCCATGTGTTCAATACGTAGCTTCTCCACTCCGGCTTTTGGTTGGTTTGTACTTATCTACTCATAGACTCATTCTGTACTCTGAAAGTTCCTTGAAAGGCTCTCCCGTGTTGTTATCATGCTGCAGCAATTAAAAGGTGTGGCTCAAATATAGGCGTGCATGGGTCAAATTTGATCGGCCCACTCAATATTGCCATATCACTTATCGCTTATCTTTTCCCTCTCCTCTCTATTCTTATACAGGGCCTAGTAGTGTCCTTATTTTCCATTGGTTGTTTCATTGGTGCTTTAGTCTCTGGAGATACACTACAGATCATGTGATAATCAAGTGACATGTGCGTCATTATTTTGTAGCATCATTGGTGGTGCCTTCACTGCCTTGCAAGTATCTTCTTTTAATTTATGGTAATTATATGTATAATGGCTTTGATTTATACTACATGTGCATGATATGTACCCAGTACATGTAAAATTAGTCAGAACAACTAATCCAGTTTGATAAACTATAAATTATTGTCTACAGGAAACAAATAATAATCTATTTTTGGCTTTTGACTTTTGCTACATTGTACTATAAACTGCTAACTTTATACAATACTTGACCTCTACTTCAATACTTGGGATAAAATTATTGATATGATATGTAGTCCACAATGCAATCGTCATTGCTGTATAGCATGTACATGTACACATTCGACCAACCAATTCCATCCTGGAGGAAAGAG